CATTTTTACCTGACAATATATGACCAATGTATATGAGCTGTTAAGAATCGGGCCAGTCGAGATTCATGAATCGCGAATCACTTTTGATCCAATTAGATTAATCGGTCAAACGGTTTTGGAAAAAAGGTGTTCGCGATTCAGTTAGATTCATTCGGACAGTTCACTGACACACTGAATAGTTTCCAGCGGTTTTTCGCATCGAAATAACTGGATACCTTATAAAACAGAAAACAAAACGATCGCCGGATGAGGTGATATCTACCTACGATCCATTTGAGGAAACGAAACTCGTAGATGTCAGCCGTGAAGCATCTTGCGCATGCGCAGCTTGAGAACGACCCTTCTGCAGGTGAATGCATTTATCTTGAGAGTTTTCATCCTGAGTGTTTCCAGAAGCTCCAGTGATCTGAAAATGAGGTAAACACCTCACACCTGCTCAGCACCACAACAAAGCGACACCCTGACCAGCCCGAACTGCAGCTCGATCACGTGTTTGTGTTCCTCAAGTTTTCACACCTTTCAAGTGGGTTTAACACCCTGAACCCTTATTGTTAATCCGCCATTAACTAAGAGAAGAAGAAGAACCCTTATCGTTAATGTATCATATAGAAACGAGTTTATTTTTTCCTCTAAGATCTGCTTTTAGTTTCACTTTTTTTTTTTCTGTTTGTCATGCATATTAGTTGAGAAGGGAGCGTGTTTGCTGAGGTTCTCAGTGTTTAGTCTCAAACAGGAAGTTGAATGTGTTTGAAGCTGATGTGGAAGAGGAAGGCCTAATTTACAAAGAAATTACTGCGGCAGAACCATGTGAATATGGTATTGAGCTGATGAAGTAATTACTGTGATTTGTGAAATGTTGTGGTATTTAAAGTATGTCTTAAGTAGATGTTAAAACTAAAAACAGGGTTGTTATTATTGTATAATACCCCTCCCCCCCTTCCAAAAAAATACTGTAATCCCACATCATGCAGTTTTAGTGCTATCTTTAAACATTGCCCCCTAGCGCTGCAATTCACATCAGTCAATCATCAATCAATCATTATTACACGGCTCTGAGGAATACTTGATTCTGATTGGTCAATCGCGCCATCCAGCGGTATGCTATTCCCAGATAACAACCGCCAAATTGAATAACACACCGCTCATCCGAGAATCCGGGTACTACGAGTTTTCTTGACCGGTACTACTTATATGCTTAACGTGGGGGGCGGTGCGAAGATGGCGGGTTGAGCGGTTGTGTTTTTCGAAGCTCGTGATAGTGGTCCCCAAAGTTTGCTTGAAGTAAGTAATTCCGACTGTTTAATGTTAAGATGTCTTCACAAAAATTGGTTAAACCTGCCAAGCTAAAAGTAGACCCCAAAGGGCTAGATCTGTCGCCTAATATCGAAAAGAACGATGAGGCTAAAGTAATGATGCACGACTATGCAATGGAGGTTACTGTGCAAAGTAAAAAAAATCGCGGAGACGGCTCCCTTCCTTCAACGCCAAGTAAAACTCCTGCGGAGAAAAGGGTTAAGCCAACAGCTGACAGAGAGAAAGATAAAATCTCCAACGAAACCATTCTGGAGGCTGATCAGGACCCCGACGCGAAGCGGAGGTACAGCTGGATGTACATTATCCCTTACATAATAAATAATGCAAATGACAAATTAATTCGTTTAAATGAAAACAATTCCTTTGCGTTTTTGGAAAGTTTTGCATAAAGACGAGAACATTGTCAAAACGATCCCCATTTGCACGTTTAACCCCATTTTCATCTATTTAGATATGCCTATGTAAGCAATTGTACGGCCCAATGATTTCCGCGATGTGGAAAACGCCGACGGAACCGCGGAATCTAGTCGGAATTAGACTTGTGCCGGTATTCGGTAATGCGATATATCACGGTAATGGATATGCACGATATTGTTATCGTGGGCACTTCTAAATACCGTGAATAATTATATATTACAAATTATTCCGAATTTTGAATGCATTTTAAGAATACTTTTCCCATCAACTGGTCAAAATGCACAACACCGCCGTATGCTGCATGAAAGATGCGTGCGCACTCTGATGTAAACAAGCGCGGACGAGAAGCACATGGAGGAACATGTGAGAGACGCTCTGGATGAAAGCGCACTTTCACACTCTGACAGCAGATGGCGCTAAACTGCAGAAATAATAATAATAATAATAATAATAATAATAATAATAATAATAATAATAATAATAATAATAATAATAATAATAATAATAATAATAATAAT